TCCTATAAAAACTCGTTGTTGTTTTTCCCCGTTGGCAGGCTCAAAACCTTTGTACATTATGTAAATAATATTTTGTTTTTCCTTATTCTACTCGCCTTAAGCCAGGCATTACTTTTGTCAAATTGTTTTTTTTTTCATATATATTCCTTAGCTCAAATAAAGAAATCTCTGATCAAGACTTTATATTTTCAAGATTATTATTTCAACCACGACTGCACCACCATAGCTTAATTCTCAAGATAATCACAACAATTCCAATATCAACAGAAAATTTCATTTTAATTATTTTACATATAATATATATATTCTTTAATACTATATCCACATATATGTATTATAAATATATATTCACTAAAGCACCAATAAGAACGAGTTTTAAACAATTTTAAGTGATTAATTTATATAATTTTCAAAATTAAACAATAAATATATATAATGAATTATCTCATTTATAAAACTATATAATTTCAATCAGGAATACAACATAAACACTTGTTTGATAAATTCGAATGATTCCATAACCCATCCCGTAGGAAGTTATGAAATAGAAGCCGTCCCTGTACTGATAAGGGCCATAGTCTGAAACCATGGTATATAGGTTGTTGGCTTTTGTCTGTATTTGTCTAAACTGGTGTTGTGGCTTTCTCATCACTAGTAAAGTGTTTTACTAGGGTGATGTACAGTGCATCGTTCTTATTAATATTTAAAGGGAGAGGAGTCTCTCTAGGTACATATATATGGCATCTGCCCGGTAAGCGGAACATTGTGGGTTCGATTCCCATCCCTGGACACTTTTATTTTTCCGTTCGTCATTACTCTTCATAATTCACTCTTTCATACCTCATCCAAAAAAGTTAAAAATAGTCGATATTTTACCTTGAAATAAAAATTTGATTTTTCGTTTAAAAGAAACTCATGCGGTGTAACTTCAAGTGTTGTTTTACAATCACAGGCCGCAGTGTATTATATTGTATTATCTTTTCTTGATTAATCAAGAATGGATATTTGGACAATTCTGGAATAAGTGAAAATCAACGAATAGTTGATATTTATTCCGATAAATGGCGCAAGCCATCAGTAACTTTCAGTTTCCCGATAAGGAGATGACCTTTTTCCTTTTCTTTATTTACTTATGTTCTTTTCTTACAGCGCGCACAGGTAATTTGGCTTGAATATGATTTTAAAACATTATAGGTGAATCTCTCTTTTAGATAAATATTAAATATATTTTAGATGGTCGCAATTTATTAATGTTATAATGTTCAACAATGAGTGCACAATTTATTAATATTCTAACATTCAACAATGGCGAAATTTATAATCGTTCTAACATTCAACAATTTATTATTGTTTAAACAATCAACACACACACACACAATGAGCACAATTTATTATTGTTCTAACAATCAACAACGGTCGCAATTTATTACTGTTCCAAATATTAACAATGGTCGCAATGTATTACTGTTCCAATTATTAACAATGGTCGCAATTTATTACTGTTCCAATTATTAACAATGGTCGTAATTTCTTACTGTTCCAATTATTAACAATGGTAGCAATTTATTACTGTTCTAATTATTAACAATGGTCGCAATTTATTACTGTTCCAATTATTAACAATGGTCGCAATTTATTACTGTTCCAATTATTAACAATGGTCGCAATTTATTACTGTTCCAATTATTAACAATGGTTGCAATTTATTACTGTTCCAATTATTAACAATGATTGCAATTTATTACTGTTCCAATTATTAACAATGGTCGCAATTTATTAGTTCCAATTATTAACAATGGTCGTATTTATTACTGTTCTAATTATTAACAATGGTTGCAATTTCTTACTGTTCCAATTATTAACAATGGTCGCAATTTATTAATGTTCCAATTATTAACAATGTTCGCAATTTATTACTGTTCCAATTATTAACAATGGTCGCAATTTATTATTGTTTCAACATTCAACAATGGTCGGCATTTACTATTGTTCTAAATTAGTTCAACAAAGGTCACAATTTAATATTGTTCCAACAATCAACAATAGTTTCAATTTAAAATTGTTCAAACAATCACAAATAGCTTCCGCAACCAACCACACTATAACCGCTACAATTGTTACAAGAACCAAAAAGCCCAATTGTCCCAGGCAACAATGGCGTGACATATCCCCTGCAACAATACACCAATTAAATTAGAACCGAGGGATCGGTTACCAAATTGAGTTAGGCCCTGATTGCATTAGACTCTGGCAAATATAGCCTGACTACCGTTCAAATTAACTCTGCCATATGCAAATTATAACACAACATATGGAAATAGGGGCGTGTTGCATAAGCAAGTCAAGTGTCAGCTATAATTTATTCCTAATTTTTTAACTCGTCCACTTATAATATCCAGTATTGGTTTGAATTCATTTCTTCAAAACCATATAGAAATGATAGGAGTGTGCTATGTAGATAAGGAAAAATAATAAAAAATTGAGTATTACTATGGTAACACTACCACATATATATATATAACATAATGCGCCTCTATAGGTACATATGTATATATATTAAATACGAAAGACAACTTTATTGAATTGAAATAAAATAGTGATTTATAACTACCATATATTGCCCTGACAAAGGTAGCCAACCGTAATTTTGGTAAATAAATATTTTTATTCAATCCAATATATGCTTTTTTATTACCTAATGATTTATGTATGGATTTCTCTATTTTCAAATATATTACATATTTCACATATATATATGCAAATTATTTACCTTTCTAAATATTCATTTTTTAATATACACATATTTGAACCATTTTAATTAAAAAGACATATATTGAATCAAAATATCATTTAAATATTTCTGTTGGCTGAACGCCAACCTTTATCAAGGTATTAAAACATATTGATGTGTGTCAACAACAAACCTAGCGAAATATTTAAATGATATTTTGATCCAATATATGTATTTTTAATTGAAGATTTATTTATGGATTGCTCTTTTTTCAAAACATATTTGAACAGTAATTCTTAATAAAATTTCTTATAACCCATACTATATTTTCTGCCGAGATTATACAATTGTAATTCAAATCGATTTAGAGCTTTGGATTAAAATAAGATAAGGATTTTAAATAATGTAAATATGCAAAAACATTTGCATATTTAAATCTTTGGGTGAGCGTTTATCTTTGATAATCACTAGATCTCTTTTCAAATTTTAGAATTTCCTTTATTGATATATTCGCTTCTATTTATATAAAATACACTTGAAAAATACATATAATTATAATTGCATATACAACCTGTATTCAAATATGTTAGGAAATTTGTAAAAGTTGATGAAAAAATTAAATAAAAACGAAATTTTTAAAAATATTTTTATTCTTGTTTATTTAAAGGAGAAAACATTAGGGAGATTTCAAGGGATAAATTTCTGTGTTTTCACCTTAATATTGACATGAGGAATTATTTTTATTGAATTCTTGATTCGTATTTATAATATGAATATATTTTTACAAATAAAAACATCTATCTCAACGTATATATGATAGATTAAACTGGCAAAACCGCTGTGAGGGCCCATCATTGATGAGTCAGGTCCTTCCAATATATTTTCATTGCAATAAGGATAGAGTAGTAATTTATATAGTATTCGTATAAGTAAACGCGCTAATTAATATCAATTCATAAGTATAGATGGCGCTCGTTTTCCTTGTACAATATTTTAAACTCACACAGTAAATCGGAGACTATGTTTTTTCTCTAAAATTGATAAATAATTAAGAAAAAGGCATCTCCTTATCGTGCAACTGAAAGTTTCTGAATGCTTGCGCCATCTATCAGAATAAATATAAACTATTTTAGGTGATTTTTAATTATTACAGAATTGGCCAAATGCCCATTGTTGATTAATCAAGAAAAGCTAACCTGGACGCATTTCGGGCTGTTGGTCCTCATTAGCATTATAAATTATATCCGGAATGTAACCTCTATTTTTATCGATCAATTTCCTCCCGGCAAAATTTCCATCTAAATTTTGGAAATATATATCCAACCTAGCTACTTTACCAAGTAAATCACCTATTTGGTAGACTGTGAAGATACTGAGTTCATGTAGCCGAAAACCTTTATTTTATTAACATCTTTTCCACGACTGCATAACAATATCAATGATACTCATTGTATCCTTAAACAACCTACGCAAATTATATAACCTTCGACAAATTTACCATTATAATATACATAATTACATATTGTTTCAATTAACCTCCCTAACATGTTAACATCACAAAATTAACTACCTTTCCAATTTATATAATGGTTTAATGAAAATATAAATTATCCACAAATTAACTATTACCATTTATTTTTGGTAAAAAAAAACCTATTAACGACTAATTTATAATTCTATCTTCATTAAATTAAATGAAATTCATTAGTAAAAGTAATTTATTGGTAATTTAGTGATTTAATATCGTTTTAAAGTTTAAAAAAAAACAAGACACCACGATACTCAGCTATTTTGTCTTTCCTGCAAAAAAAACAACCTGAAATCTAATCTAAATGAATTTCATCAGAAAACTTTCTTCCTTAAAATTGCATCCCTTAGTTAATTGAGTTATTAAAATGAAATATGTTAAAATGAGGAAGAAGGTTTCCTCATTAAAAAAATTAAAATTAAATCATTTAATTAATGTGATGAGAAAGTGGAGAGAAGAAAAAGGATAATGGAGAAAATTTTAGAAAAATAAATAATTTACAAACTGTCTTAGCATTGTAAATTTCGGAAAGGTTTTACCGTATAAATTGATTATTCAAATTAAATGGTTTACATTTTGGTCTTTTAACCACTTAATCTTTTAAACGGTTGTTTCTCAAGATATTCTATAAAAGTCTAAATTAAAAGTTTAATTATGTCATTGTTACAATATAATGCTCTTTTTTACTATTTGTGTGGAAGGATGATCTCTATATAATTCAATATAATGCGGTTTATGATTGTAATGTCCTAGTGGACGTGGCATCTGCCCGGTAAGCGGAACACTGTGGGTTCGATTCCCATCCCTGGAAACTTTTATTTTTCCGTTCATCATTACTCTTTACAATTCATCATTTCATACTTCATCCCTAAGGTTAGAAATAGTCGTTATTTTTCCTTGAAATAAATTTCGATTTTTCCTTTGAAAGAAACACATGCGGAATATTTTCAAATGTCGTTTTACAATGGTGTCTATATATTCACTAGATGGCGCATTGCCATTTAAAATGCTCATGTAAGCGGTCATATATTAGTGGTCACCTTTTTCATATATATATTCAGGAGGGTGTGTAAAATAATTTTACAAATATAAAAAGGCAGATGTTTATATTAAAAACAAAATGGTAATACCCTGACGCTAATATGAGCTTTTTATATGGCCAATATATGCAATTTTTCCGGAAGGAAATTGATCTATAAAACCAAAGGTCACCTCTCCCGTCAAAATAGACATCAAAACTAGACGCCATCTATTGACCGTCGCAGCAAACTAGTGGCTTTGGGTCGGTGACAAAGCCACAACACCAGCCTTAGAAAACTGAGAAGCATCCACCTGGAGATCATGGTTTCGAGCTAATGGCCCTTATCAGTCTAGGGCGGACTTTATTCCATGAGATCCACACGGGATCTAATGGAATTTTCACAATCTGCCAAAGAGGTGTTTAGCTGGAAAAGTATGGATAAAATATAGATGGTAATTTTGCCGGGATAGTATTAATCAATAAAGATAAAGGACACCTCTCCCTTCAAAATAGACGCCAAAGCTAGTCGTCATCTATTGACCGTCGCCTTAAACATATATATGTATATAATAACAACAACAAAAATACATGGAAATTTTGCCGGGAGGAAATTCAATCTTTAAAGGCAACGGTCGCCTCTCCCTTCAGTCTAACAATTCTTTACAAATATCGGTTGAAATTTTTCAAAAGATAGATACAAAAAATAATACATCGCTAAACAACAACTTCCTTTCATATCAAGTTTTGATATATTATTTGCATACTAAAACAATTTCGTTTTAAATTCTATTTTTTTACAAAAACCTGGCGAAACCGCTGGAAGCTTTAATCACAGATATACCTGGTACCTCCCAATATTTTTATCATTGCAGATAGGATAAGAGTAAGAAATTGCTTTATTATGAAAAAAAGAAACATTCGAGGGTTTAAATAGATTCTATATTTCCAATAATATATATAAAACAGCTTAAATAGAACATAAAGAGAATGTAAGAATAAATAAAAACTTAAAACGTTAAAGAATCCAGAGCTGAAATTCCCTAAATGCATATAGGCCTGTATTTACATAAGCTGTGAGTGTCAGGGCCAACTTTCTCCATCAAGGGAAGATCCAAACAAACGGCTCCATTAGGACTGGAGAATATTCTCCACTTTTTACATGTTTTCTCTTTTTTTATTTGTTTTATCCTTTTTTGGAGAGTGGAAAGTCGATATTCTAAAGTTCCTCCTCCCACCCTCTACCTTTCCAATATTCTTCTTTCATTAAAACTTTACTGAATTGTTCTATCTCATTAGTCTTTTTTAAACGAGGCTTATTGTAAGGTATTATTTTCATCTAGTATTTAAATATGGTTATAAATCTAATATAAAATAGGTGGCAAAGTATTGATTGTAAAATCATCTCTTCACATGTACACTCATGGACAAAATTTGAGGAAATGGAAAGTCTTTGATATCGCCGGTCGTCTATTTTTTTTTTTAAAGGAGATATAGGCAATTTTGTTCAAACTTGGTTATCTCGTGTGTCTACAATAAAGGTCACTGTAATATATTTCATAGGTATTGTCTGAATCCCGATATACATGCTGAAAGGTACAACTTCCTTAAGTTTTGTCCATGAGTCTATATTCGTTATCTCGTGTGTCTTCAATAAAGGAACTGTAATATCTTTCAGAGTTATTGTCTGAATCCCGATATACATGCTGAAAAGTACAACTTCCTTAAGTTTTGTCCATGAGTGTATATTGGTTATGTTGTGTGTCTTCAATAAAGGTCACTGTAATATCTTTCAGAGTTATTGTCTGAATCCCGATATACATGCTGAAAAGTACAACTTCCTTAAGTTTTGTCCATGAGTGTATATTGGTTATCTCGTGTGTCTTCAATAAAGGTCACTGTAATATCTTTCAGAGTTATTGTCTGAATCCCGATATACATGCTGAAAGATACAACTTCCTTAAGTTTGTCTAGGTTTTTAAGGTATTTAATAAATGCGTTCTAAACGTATATTTATTAAACGAAAGGGAGATATGTACAATATATACCACAAAAATATAACATAGTGTATTTCAAGGTAGTGTGTTTTCTTTTCCAAAGAGGAAATTTTTTTACCGAGATGGTCAACGGTCAAAAGATATTATTAAAAAAAAAAAAGAAATTTTCTCTTCGGCTTAATTCGATCACGGATATAATTGGGGGGAAGTTCTTGCTCAATTTACTTGGCAAACATTTGTCACCTTTAATCACTGAAATAATAAAACTGGACGAGCAATTCTCACAATATTTCTTCTACAGAACTCATTCTTTCTAGAAAAATCAAAGAGAAGAAGGTATAATTTTATATGAAAATAAATAGTATAATAATATACTTAGTCTAGCCATAAATATTGTTAGAAAACCAAATCAGTGATAAAATTTTTAATTTGACCGCGTGAAGTATTCAAAATACAGTAGTTGTTATTTGAAAATCTCGTGCGAACGTGTTTAGAAAAAAAAATCGGAATATATTTGTTTTTATAGTTTGTATGTATATATAGTTTGAAGAACTTTTTTTGTATAAAATTCAATCACATATGTTTTAAATTTGGAGAATACAAGGTAGAAATTGAATTCTATTTAGTTTTATAAATAAAATCGAAAAGAAGTTTTATTTCCTTTCTTCCTTGTTTTTTTGATATATAACCAACAAATAATATCAGAAATACTTGAAGAATACGATTTTTCTAATGAAAGATATTCAATCGAAGTATTTGCATATAATGGTCACAATATATCAAACTAAATAAGTTTCTTCATTGAGTTAAAAGGGCAAGTGCTTAGCTCATCACCAAGTTAATTGTTTACAAATAATTGATCAAAGTGTTGATAAATAAAAACAAAAATAAAGGCATAACTTGACTATATTTTCATATATATATACTAGCGGATGTGCCCGGCTTCGCCCGGGTTTTTACCCGAGTAAAGGTTTGTCTAACGAACATTTGTTAAAACAATTCTCTATAAACTTATTTAAAAAAGAAGATATATTTTGATAATTTGAAACTTGTAAATTTGAATCTCTCGATAAAGTGAACATTTTTTCCCGGTCCCTGTGTGCCGTGTCATCCTGAATTTTGTCTTTCCTAATTTTCTACATTACAAAATCATCGTTTTATCTAGTGAACATTTTTTTCCGGTCCCTTGAAAAATACTCGATAAGTTGAATAAAATCAATATTAATTGGTTCCCTCGGTAATTGGAAGTTAAAGGAATAGTATCTTCGCCTTGGAATTGTATCATTATTCTTGTCTCAAATAAATTGCCGTGTCATCCTGAGATAATCTTACTTTTGATAAATAATATTTAAGATTTTATTATATATATTATATTATATATATATTACACGTTATTTGTTTTCTTGGCCGACTGTTTTACATATGGTGTTATCTTAAAATTGCTTGTTTTGAATATTTTTTTAGATTGAGATTATTAGCTAGTATGTAAAAAAATTAACTCTGTTGAAATTTAATTTTGTATTTATATATAAATAAAATTAAATCTGTTGATTTTTTTTGTATTTAATCGATAACAGCGAAGTTACGCATGTTAATGTTAGGGAAAAATATTTTGATGTTAAGCAAAACCTGCTCCATCTCGTTTTACATAAATGTTGAAAATTTGGTTGAAATTGATGCATTGTAACGAAAGTTTTTAGTGATGTACACTTATGAAATTTGCATTTTATTAATATAGATAACCTTTAATTAAAAAGGCATATATTGGATCAAAATATCATTTATTTTACCAATATTTCAGTTGGCTGAAGGCCAATTGCGTTCAGCTATATAAATATAATATACATATTAAGATATTATAATACCTTGAAAAAGGTTGGCGTCCAGCCAACTGAAATATCGGTAAAATAAATGATATTTTGATCTAATATATGCCTTTTTAATTAAAGATTTATTTATGGATTGCTCTATTTTCAAAAAATATATATATGTATTACACACCGCGTGTATGTAATAGAAATATATATATTCGTACAATACAATAGAAATCGTACTACTCAACAACCGTGCAATTCAACACGTTTTTTTAAATAAATTACAAACATAAATCATACACCAAGGTAAAAAAATCAAATAAGTAACACGTGAAATTTCGGTAACAACATATTTACTATCTTTAGATTAAATTTGCTAAACGAGAACCCAGCATTAAACCTTTTTTTAGAAGTATAATTTTAGAGGAACTCCGCCTTTGCCGGTCCCAAGCCCGGATGAAAAAGGAGGAGGGGAAACAGTAACAAGCTCGCTAAAAACCCTGGGCTCAGCTGGCCCGGCTGATAGTACCCTGTAAGGGCTCCTAATCCAGGGATACAGGATGAGCAGCGTTTGTACTCCATGTTAGGAGCAGCTGCACATGGCGTCTGTTCCTCATGTCAGAGGTAGCCATTTCTTTTGGAGCTAAGTCGGCCTGCCACTGAGTAGTACTCCCAGTCTTGATGACAAAGGCAGACGCATTCTACTTCACCCAATCATGATGGTTGTCATGCTTTACAAGCTTGATACCTTGATATGATTAAGTGAAGATAAGAAAGAAGTTTGTAAGAGAAAGAGAATATGGTATTACAAGCTACTAACTAAAGTATATGATTTTCGAGCCCAAAAAATGAATGTAGCAATCAGACAAGCCGTAATGTACTATAGAGAAGTATCAAGGTACTGTAAAAAGATAAGCAGAGCGTGGTTTGTTTGTAAATGGTGACAATTTTATTTCAATTTAAAGCGTTATGTCCCCCTAGAGAC